CGCGCCACCATGCCCAGCTAATTTTTTGTATTTTTAGTAGAGACGGGGTTTCACCATGTTGACCAGGTTGGTCTCGATCTCTCGACCTTGTGATCCACCCGCCTCGGCCTCCCAAAGTGCTGGGATTACAGGCTTGAGCCACCGCGCCCGGCCAACTTAATCTTCTGACCTACTAATCTGAGGCTCAAAGTGTCTCTCCTCTAATTAATCTACTTAAAGTTTTCAAACAAAAAATAATATTTTCCATTATGTAATTGAATCAACTTCAGCTGATTTTTTTTTTTTTTTTCAGTTGCCATCTGCCTTGCCTTCTGCGATGGCTGCTGCTTCTTCCTTTCCCTCTGGCTGCTGGATCTGCTTAGGTGTGATGTTACTTCCTTTTGCTTACTCACTGTCCACCTGCTGGCATATTTTAAGAAGCTACATTACTAGGGGACGCTCAGAAATCCTTATTTCTGAGGACCTACAGTGCACCAGCCAGGGAGTTAGCAGGCTCCTACAAGTCATAAGGAGGGAGTCTTTCTGCCCCTGGTCCTTCAAGTGGCCATTGTGTGGCTTTCCCAGCGGGGCCTTGGCCTGCGGCTTGAGCCTGTCAGGGTCCTCAGATACACTTGGTACAATAGGCCCTGCCTTTTCCTCTCCAAGGTCAATAGATCTCCAGGGTGCATGAAGCTGAGATCCTCAGCCAGATCGCTTAGTCCATGATCCTAGATGCAACTTGGATACAGAGGTTGAATCTTGTGCCTTCTTTATGAATAAAATGTAAAACATTTATTTAGCAAGCATAATGTGTGACTGATAATCGGTTTTAAGTTGAAGAGCTGAAAAAGTGGAAAGCTAATGTATTTTACTTACTCATTTCTCAACTACTCAGCAGGCCTAATACAATACCTAATAACAAATGCTCACTGATATTTGTTCAACTAAAGTGAAGACAACTGTTCAGTGCTTTCCCACTGAGCTTAGGAAAAACTCAAATCCTCAAATTGGCTTACAAGGCCCTAAATGACTTGATTTCTACCCAGCTTTTCAATCTACCACCTTTCCATTTGTCTCTGTTCCCAGCCATATAAGATTCATCTAAGTGTACTGAATGCGCCATGTTCTTATCCACCTCAGGCACTTAATATTTGCTGCTCACTCTGTCTGGAAACTTTATGATCAGCACCTTCCCATGTGGAGATCAGTATCTCCTCTGTACTGCCCCACCTGAAATATACACCCTCTAATACAGACATATGCTCTTGTCTTGTCCATGATTGTAGCTAAAATCATGGTCCTTGGAGCTCGGACACGGGCTTTTCCTCACTGATTTGTTTCTCAGTTAAGTATCGTATTTCCAGAGAAAATGGACAACTCAGAAAACACTTTATTTCTTTATGTTCCTATAATATATAGCATCCTAAATTTTTATTTTCATAGAGTTTAGAAACATTTTAAATTGACCATTTTACTGTATCCTTTGCAGATTGTTTCACAGGGGCATGGGCATATTTAACTTTAAAACTATTGCAGTCTGCCACATGCAGCACAATAGTACCTGATAGCCACTTAAATATTTGCTGGGGAAACAATGAAAAAGAAAGGGAAGAAAGGAAAGGAGACATGATTTTTTGCTATCAAGAAAAATAAAAATAGATCTCTTTAAATTTATTTAAAAGTTTTAATCTTCATTATAATGTGGCATTTTGGTTGTTAAGCAAATAAATTCTCAGTCAGACCATGATTTAAAAGTTAGCTCTGCTATTTTAGCTGAGGATAAGTCACATTACTTTTGTAAGTTTCATTTTCTTGATTGGCAAAATGGGAATAATAATAGTACTTACCTTATAAGTTTTGGATAAAGATTTAGTGTGAAAACAGAACCATTTACCTCAGTACTTGGCAGCTACTAAATTCTTAAAAATATTAACTCTTGTAATTACTCATTTACCTGAGGATCAAAAAGAAAATAAAGATGTCCGTTCTTCAACTGAAGTGCAAAATACTCTTCCTGATTGCCAGGTGATGCTGCAAAGACAATCAAACCTTCGGGCACCTTTGTTCGAAAGCTGGCCTTAATGCCTGGTAAGACAAGTGTGATCAGCAAATCAGTGCTGGGGTTTTGTTGATTCTTTCTGATAAATGTACATTTACTTTCATTATTATTTATGATGTAGTGAGTACAGTCAGGAAATTATACACAGCAATGTCCTGGCGTGGTCTCGGCCATTTGGTTTTAAATATATCCCATTTTAAATGCCAATCAGTACTCGGAATCTTATGCCTGCATTCCTGCTAATCAATATATAATGAAGTTTAAATTTATGCAAAACTCATCAACCTAAAAAGACATATTGTCAACCCAAAATTGGATACTTAGAGTATCAATGTGAAAACATTATCAGAGGGTCATAAAAATAAATGGGTTTTTGACACGAGTGAAAGAAACATAGAGGGTCTTGCTTAAAATATTTATGAAGTTTAAAGAGTCAGTTCAGTAATAGAAGCTAATATTGGAAAGACCTGAAATGAAGTGGCCTATAGAGGTAATTTGCTGAAATACCATCCTATAACCAAATGGTTTGCAACCTTCAGAATTTCAGGATCTTTACTAACCCTTCAGAAGACATACCAGCTCAGCATAGGACATACAATGCTTTTTTCTCATAGAAATTTCCACAGATTAGGAAGCAGTTTCAACATGCAACTTCCCTATGAATGCCTTCCCCCTACCATTGCATGGTCCCATCTCCACTCTACCCAGTATCCCACATACTCAACACATACTACGGAGCTCTTGCTGTGTCTTAGGCTTTTTGCTTAATGTATTAAAACTGGAAAGAGACACAGTCTCTGTTTTCAAAGAATCTCCAGTTTAAAATATTAAATGTATATGTCATAATAGACAAATTATCCCATGAGAATCAAATATAAACTCAAGACCATATATGAAAATCAAATAACAGCTCAAGAACACCATGATAAATAATGAATGAATACTGATTTGACTAGAAATACATCTGATTCCTCTAGATGTACTTTGTAAATGTTTTGGGAGTTTGGATGAAGTGAAAGGTACATTAGAGGTAAGAGAAAACTAGCTAGGTTTGAAGGCAGGAAAGCAGGTATCATTTGTTGAACATTAGACTATTTTTTTTACAACATACATCTGTGGCACACTAGCATTTGCTGAATAGTACTCTGCTACATAACAAAGAAGAAAAACTAATAAGCCCATACCTGACATTGAGTTCTAGCTGAGAAAAAAGACAATTAAAAAAAAAAACTATAATATGATGTGATAAATGGTATGGGGATATATACAAAATACTTGATTAAAACAAACAGGGCAGTTTTAGAGAATATAATGCTTGAGCTTGTTTTCAGAGAATATGAAGGATTTGGGGGAAATTTTACAAAGGCCTAGAGGTATGGAAAGTTTGAGGGAGGCTGGTTGTGAAGGAGGGAGTTAGATAAATCTGGAGAAATAGGTGAGACTATATCTGTACAGTCTGGCTTGAGAAGTTGTATAGAAGACAAAGATGGAAATGAATGCCATGTTCTAAGTTATTTTTAGAGTGCCATTCCCTTAGTCACAGCCAAGGTTACATTTAGGATGGAGGCTCTAGACTTTCCAATAAGGAAAATCAAGTTTATCCTGGCATTCTTGACTTCTGCATCTCCACCTTCTACGTTTCATGCTCTTGGCCATTTTCCACAAACCTGTCCTAGTGATTTTGATATCTCATTGTTACACACCCTTTTTCTCTTACTCTGGCCTGCTTGAATGTTGTGTTCTTGCTGTCAGATTCAGGACGTGGTCGTTCCTGGCAACTCTTCCATACCACAGAATACAATTGTTTGTCCCAACAAATTGCTTTGCAGTAGTCAAACTCCTGCTACTAGATGTATTTGGACTCCTGCTACTAGATGTATTGTTTGCTCTCATCTTCCCTAACAAGTGCACTGAAAAAACTGAGCCACCCATTTGAAACTTATCAAGAAATTAAAATTTGTGTGGAGGGCAGGAATAGGATTTTCAAAGTTGAGACTAGGGCAACAAAATTGACGGTGAAATATAGAGAGGAGACATAATTTAGCTACACAGAAAGACACTATGCTTTGGGAGAATAAGACAGACAAGTAAGTGAATTAACTGAAAGAATAAAATCTATACATTTCAGGAAAGGCACGTTAAGACATATTGATATGAGGTGATGGAGTGGGGCAACACGGTCCATTCTTTTCATCAATTATTGAGGGAAATGGGGTATTATAAACAGATATAGAAATGTCAGATAAGGAAAGAAATTGGGGGTTAGGAATTATCTTTAGTTTTAGGAATACTGAAGTTATTATGTAGAAAACTTTATCTGTCATTTGGAAATGAGAAACTAAATCTCAGAAGAGAAGATAGCGCTAGGAAAATAAATTGGCAATCACCTCTCAACAGCCATGTTTAAGAGACAGACTGTAGAGAAAGAACCAAAGCCTTTAATGGAAATGCCCACATTTAAGAAAAGAAAAAAAAAATAAGGGCAAGAATAAAGTTAGACCAAGAAAATATAGTAAAATGGAAGGCTAGGTAGGAGAGAACTTTAAGGAGGCAAAGTTAGCTAATTGCGTAAGCACTTCCTGTAGGTCCAGAATAATTAGAACTGAAGAAAAGCTTTTGGAGCTGGTAATGACATGATCTTTTCAGTTGAGTAGAATGGACAGACTCCTGACTGCTTGGTGATAAGGACTGAGGAAATCAATGAGTGGAAGGTGGGTAAAGGAGACTAATTAGAAAAATCTGATAGAGAAAAAAACGGGAGACATAGAAATTATTAGGGTAGAGCAGGGAGACAAAATAAAGAAGTATCTGCCAGCAGAACCACAGACATAAAGTCTGTTCTGCAACCTAAGCAGAGAACAATTATATTTTGACCAACTGTTTTCTTCTCTTAAGCTTCTCTCCTCATGGTTCAGAGTAACTGTACTTGAGAAGTCTTATCTTTCTGTCACCATTTTGTTTTAAAAATATGGAATGCTTCACGAATTTGTGCGTCATCCTTGCACAGAGGTCATGCTAATCTTCTCTGTATCATTCCAATTTTAGTATCTGTGCTGACGAAGTGAACACTCTGTCACCATTTTTTAAATGTGATATTTGGTATCATATATTATAATAAAATCTATCCCTGTAAAATTACACAGTTCAAGCTTATTTCACAAAGAATAGCTATAATTTGGAACATGAAGAGAGCAAAACTATCAGTGTGTTGGAGTCATCTATGTGGTAGTAAAGAGGAGAAAAAAAGCAAGGAATTGGGTAATGGAAGATATCAATAATCGCTCAATCTGGGAAGACAATTACTTGTCTTTAATTCAAGAGAAATCTGATGAATGAAAATAAATCAGTAAGAATTACAGGCATATTTAGACAAGTGATGCTTGGGAATCTTATAAAAATTACACACTAAGAAATATGCAAGTGCATGGTTTTTCTAAAATATATTATTTAACTTTCAAGTTTTATGCTTATATGAGAAAATGCACTGTTAGTGCAACTAAAATATAATACTTTACACAGATTGAAGAAATTTTCTTGTAAGAAGGGAAGCTATAGTATAGTAAAAGGCAACTGGATTTCATGCTGTATGTTAGATTTTCCCACAGCTTTTTCAAATAATTTAATCTCGTCATTTTTCTCTTTACATTGCCAAGATAAATGATGAACGATTGCTTTTTTTTTTGCATGAACTCTATGACAAAATTAAAAATTCACACATTCACTGAAACATCATCCTCTTGACAATTAATTAATGTTATAGACATAGATAAATCCTATCTTCTGAGCCAAATGCTGAAATCATGTAATCAGTTCTTCAAATGAACTAAATAAAAAAAGAATATATTTAAATATAAATATAACAACTTTTAGATTAATATATATATAACATTTTAAAGAAAATAGTATTGACTTTACCATGAGATAGAATGGTAATATGCATAACTATTCAAAATTATTAAAATTCTCTTTTCCTATAAGAAGTTTGTATATTTACAGATTCCCAACTATTGACTTAGACTCAGCAATGTGAATTGTATTGGCCAAATAACTGAAAGTGGACATGTGGTGTGCCACAGGAGATCAGAATCTTTAATACAGCTATGTAGTTGAACTTATGGTCTTCCTCTTTGCCTCACAAACCTGTTTTCATCCCAGGCCCAGGAACAAAAAGAGTTGTGGATCAGAGCTCAGCAGTGACAAAGTGTTTTTTGCTTTCAATGTTTGTGTTAAGCTGAAACACTGACTAAAATGGGCAGACAAGTGGAAATTATACTTCTCTCACTTGCCAAAACTTAGGTTTTGATTTTCAAAAAATGAGTAAGAAAGGAAACGTCCTAAAATTCATTTTTTTTTGTTTCTGGTGTTTAAAGAATAGAGCATTTCTTGCATCTCTCTATTCATTCATTCAAAAAACATTTAAGGAAAACTTACTTGGTGCAAATGGTATATGTGAGATGTGTAAAATAAACTTACATCCATGGCCTAACATTCTAAAAATATGAAAAATCCAAGTTCTACATGGAAATATTTAAATTTCACGTAAGAGGGTTTATAACTTTAAAATTTAATCATAAAAATCATACACCTTCGGGGCCATGGATTAGGCAAAGAATTCTTAAACGATAAAGGTGGAGCTATAATATAAAGGGAAAAGTTGATAAATTAGACCATGTTAGAATTAACCAGGTATGAATAAGAGAATGAAAAGACAAATGACATAATGAGAGAAGATATTTGCAATACATATATCTGATACTAAGATACATTGCCAGAAAATAACATATGAAAAATGGTCAGTATCATTAGTCATCAGAGAAATGCAAAATGAAGTGCAATACCACTAACCATCCACTAGAATGGCTAAAATGAAAAGTGTAGCCAAATATGTGCAACTACTGTATATGTGTACATATACACATACACACATGTATATTACATATAACTATATAAGACATAATGTTGAATAAGTTAAATGTTAAATTTATAATATATAATATCTATACATGCAGCATTCATAAACTTCTAGAGTGTACAATCTCTTTGAAAAACTGACAGTATTTATTAAATTATCCATGTATCTTCTGATATGTATATCTTTTGATCCAGCCATTCTACTACTTGGTATATATCCAGCCCCACCCAAATGCATAGGATCAAAAGATATACAAGTATGTTTACAGCAAGACCTTCCATTACGCCTTCAAACTGAAACATACACAAATGTCATTCAACTGTAGAAACAACAAATACAGCAATGAGAATGAACAAATCATAGCTACACCCAGCTCTACACGAGTCTCACAACCATGGTACTGTGTAAGAGATACTAAGAACAAATGAATATATACTGCATGATCCCACTTATATCAAGTTCAAATCCAGACAAAAATCAATCTATGATGTTAGAAGTCAGGACAGAGTAACCCTGGCTGCGATTTAGAAATGGCAGTAGGCAGGCCCACTGGGGGCCCAGCAGTGTTCTATTTTGTACTGTGGGTGCTGGGTACCCAGGGCTGTCCAGTTTATAAAAATGGGTCAACCTGTACACTACTACTTTTTGCACTTTTCTGCATGTATGCTAGACTTCAACACAAATATTTATCAAAAACCAAATGTGTCTCTCTTGAACTAAGAAATGTAAAAAGCCATCCAAAAGCCTTTATCCTAGTCAACACAAGTTAGTTGTTATTGGAGACCCAAGAACATGTAAGACATTTCAAAATGACTGGAAATTGTCAGGTAATAGCCATACAAAGCTACTGTAAAAACAAAAAGAAAACAAGACCTGACACATTTCAGCTGATGAAAATTCTGCCTTCCAAAATTCAAACCAAGAGAAGGAACCTGTAATACAAGTCCCTAGTATGAATGAAAAAGCCGCTAAAAATTACATAGATTTTAAAAAATCTTCTATCAGAAATTCAAAGTCTCAGAATTGACATGTAGAATATATTAAAAAATCCCACAAGTCAATAAAAACCCAAACCACCCAATGGAAAATAAGCAAAACGTCCCAACAATCACTTGACTAGAAATCCTGAGCAAGCAACCAATGCTCACAATAAAGATATTCAATTCCATCATTCATCAGGGTACTGCAAATTAAAATCACAATGAGACACGTCTCTATACTCACTAGAACAGCTAAAATTAAAAACACCAAATTCTGCAGAACATGTGATGCGATTGAAACTCTCATATATTGCTAATGTAAATGCAAAACTAAACAATCATTTTGGAAAACTGCTTGGCATTTTCTAAGTTAAACATATACCTAGTCTATTCAGTCTTTGACTTGTCTTTTCATTTTTTGAGACAGAGTCTCAAAAAAAAAAAAAAAAAAAAAGGCAATGCAATGGCGCAATCTTGGCTCACTGCAACCTCCGCCTCCCAGGTTCAAGCAATTCTCCTGCCTCAGCCTCCTGAGTAGCTGGGACTACTGGTGCATGCCATCACGCCCAGCTAATTTTTTGTATTTTTAGTAGAGATGGGGTTTCACTGAGTAAGCCAGGATGGTCTCGATCTCCTGACCTCATCATCCACCAGCCTCAGCCTCCCAAAGTGCTGGGATTACAGGCACGTCCTACCACTCCTGGCCAAATTTGTAATTTTTAATCATTAGTGCTCTGTTTGTATCTTGTCTGAGAAATCTTTACCAACACCAAGATGACCAAGATATTTTCTCATTTTTCTTCTAGAAGCTTTATAATTTCAGCTTTTATTTATTAGGTCTATGAACCCATCTCAAATTAAATTGAATGCATGATGTGAGGTAAGGGTCAAAGTTTTTTTTTTTACTACTACACATCATACAGTACTATTTGTTGAACAGATTATACTCTCCCCATTGAATTGCCTTAGCTCCATCAAATTTTAATTGGCATTGGAAGTCTGAGTCTATTTCTGATTAATTTGCCAGTACGTACTTACACAAATATTATAAAATCTTGATTATTCTGGCTTTATTTTAAATCTTAAAATGGCTAAGTCCATCAATTTTTAAATATGTTATTCAATAGTATTTTGGATATTCTAGGTCTCACACATATTCTTTCAACATGCAGAATCAAGTTGGGAATTTTGCTGAAAAACTTGCTGGAATTTAATTATATTAAATGAATAAATTGACTTGAGGAAAATGGTTCTTTTAACAACATTTTGTTTTTCATCCACAAATATAATAAATCTTCATTTATTTAGGTTTGCATTGATTTATCTAAGTTATGTTTTATAGCTTTGGCTATACAAATCTTTTCCTATATTTTGTTAAATTTAAGTGCTGTATTTTGAATGTTCTTTTAAATCCAACTGTATTTAAAAAATTATTTATTGCTAGTATATTTGATTAATTTTACTTATATTAACATTGTATTCTGCAATCTAAGTTCATTTATTAGTTCTAATACTTTTTCAAAGATTGTTTAAAGTATTAACATATAAAATTATGTCAATGACAAATAAATACATTTTCTTTTCCTTTTCAGTATTTATGAATTTTATGTTATTGTATTGTTTTAGCACTAAAACTACTGATAAAATTTGAATGAAAACGATCCCTATATTAAAAACAAAACATGCAATATTTCCCTATTATATATTATATGTATATATTATATGCTATTATATATAAGCTGTGGAATATTTGTAGTGGTCCTTTGCCCTCCTATTCTTAGTTTGCCGAAAGTTTTCATTATGAGTACATGTAAAATTTTGTGAATTTTTTTCAACTCTATTGAGATGATATGATATTTTGCTATGCTAGTTTCCTCTACTAATGTGATAAATCATATTGATAGATTTTAAAAATTATTCCAAAATATTTTTCTCTCTTCCTCTCCTTTCCTATCTCCACCTCCCTCTCTCCCCTTACCACCCTTCCATCCCCAACACCCATAATTCTTACAAACCAATTTTAGGCTTTGCTTTCTGTTTCTATTTTATTGATATCCAATCTTGTCTTAACATTTTAAGATTTCTTATCACTTTGGGTTTAGTTTGTTCTTTTTTGCCTGTTTTAATAAGAAGCTTAGGAAAGCTTGGACCTCAGATAATCATTTAGCCTATACGTT